ACTTGGGTAAAGAATACAAGGGCGATAAAGATAAAACTTTCTTTACAATGATCCCTCTTTATAAACAAATTTTAGGTTATCTAAAGAATTTTCAAAGGGAAATAAACGACAAATTCGTCTAATTAGCAACACATTGGTTAATATGAATTCAGGATTTAATTATTTATCATTTTTATACTTTTTAATTTAATTACTTTTTAGGTATTTTCATTTCTTTTATATAGCCGTTTTGTGTGAAACAATTTTTAATGAAAAAGGAAAAAGTGATTTGAAAAAGAAACAATTATTCAACTAAAATAAAGCAAAGAAAATGATGAAAACGTAGAAAAAGAATTTTGATTTGTTAATTGAAGGCTTTATATTGCCCTCTAAGAGAAGGACTTTCTCATTTTCTACCAAAAAATATCTCTGAATCTGTTTTCAAAATCGAGCATCTACTTGATGCGAGTGGAACATTTTAGACGTGAACCACGATTTGTCTCTGTGAAAAAAGATATGGTGTTTCTCTCTCAGTAAATGAAAGATGACATCGAACTTATATGTCTAGGAAAATAAAATTTATAAGCGTATATTATCTGCTCTATAATATGAGAATGGTATCACCTGATTGTGCTAAAGCAAGCGGAAAGTGCCATAGTATCGGGTTCTAAGTTTAGAAGGGTTTGGACTCAAAGAATTGTGATTTATATGTATAAATATCATTGAAAATATTAGATTATCCTATTTTTCTATATCCCCCAAAGCTTGTCTGGCTTGTTGATATTATAGAATAAATGTCTTAAACACAGCAAGACAACTCAGCGTGTGCATTAAATCAGTAACATAATTTTAAGGTATATACATAGGTCTAATTACAGGACGTAAGCAAGATCGTGAATTTTTTTTAAATCATTTCACTGCAAGCAAGGCGATAATGCCACTAAGTCGCAAGGGGCTATAGGAGAGAAAGACAATGAGAAGACTTTAGAAGAAATCGGAAACTCAATCCTAATAAGAAAACAAGCGTTACACTCTAGGTATTATATTTGGTTGGCTGTTTATTTATTTATTTTGTTTCGCAGTACATCAATACATTTATTGGCTATTTAATGTTTAAATCTAGATATTTGGTACGCATATCGTTTTTGAGATAATGATGGTTTTGGTCATGCAAGTATGACTAATTAACCCATAGCTGAGGGAGAAGAAATGGATTTATACCATTTCCAAGCCTTTATCCATCACAACACTTGCACTTCCAAAATTAGAGCACCTGTCATTTCTAAGCAGTCACCCATATACTTACTGAAAAGGCTCGACATTGCCTAACTTCGGTGATCGTACAGAAGCCGGTCTTCCAACGGGATGTAGCCGTAAGTCAGTTGGTGTTTGAGTAAACATACAAAATGGAAGACTAACTAACGTGTTATTGCGAAAGATGAGAATAATTGGAGCATTTCCGTTTTTCATTTTCAGAAGTATCGAAAACATTAACATAGAATTTACCAATTTGACATATAAAATGAAAAAAGCCCGCATTATTCGTGGCTGTAACTGATGAGCACAGCAAATCAGAAGTGAAGAACTTCTTGAAATGACCAGGTCAGCAAGGAGCAATAAATGTGACTCTTTCGCAGACACTTCGGACATATACACGCTGATTCATATCACACTCATTCCGCCTCTGATGATTGTGGGGATCGTAATCAATGAAAGGGTCTTTACATGCTGTCATAACTATTTCCAGTTATGTGGGCACGTGGCCGAGTGGTTAGAATTTGCGCTTGGGTTCGAATCTCACCATGGTCGATTTGTCAGGAAGGAGACTTCCTGATATTATCGGATTGGAGCTGTCGATCCCAGCGTGCTGCAAATTTCAAAACTGCCCGAAAACATATCACGGGTTGACCCAAGCCTTGGGAGCTGTTGATAGCTGTGCTAACACGAAGTCACAAATCGTGGCAGATGGATTAAGCATTCTGGCCTTGTTCAAATTTCTGTTCATGCAAGATAAGACGCTCAATCCCAGAAACTGTAACTAAGGTCTACTCAGCATAATTGCAGTATAGACCACAGTTGGGCTCTGTGGGCGTTGAATAAACAAAAAATGCGCCTCAGCAATAGAAATTGACTAGACCGGTATGCTCAAATCGAGTGACCAGTGGATTAAAGATTAAAAGACCAACGCGTACATTTTGTTTCGAAAGATGATGCTTAAGTCTTGAAACAAGCAACTGATTGTATGTGTCCCATCAGGTCTCAACTCTTTCCACAAATGGTCCATGTAACCAAGAACTGGCTGGGAAGAAATTTACCGATCCTGCCATTCTGCAACAGGTGACCTCTGTTGTCTGTTTTCTAGCATCAACTACGCTTCTACATCTGTAGGTTCGTTCAGAAGGGCGGCAACCAGCGACTCCCCGATTCAACGGATTTGTTCAAGACCGCTATCATTCATATGAAAACTGTCTGAGACGATCACGATTTCCTTTCTTATATTACATCGAGGTCATAACAGAAATTGTGGATAGGTTGTGGATTGTAACGTTAACATTATTCGGACAATTGTCCTCAACTTTGTCGCCATATTTATTTCAACGTATCGGCTGTTTTACGCTCCGGACCTCTTCAGATTGTTGGAATGTTGAAGTGAACCCTTTGTTTCGCTCACTGGGGTACACTGTTCCAGCGAGCGAAATAAAGTGTTATGTTCGACATTCCAACCACCTGAAGAAGGCCGGAACGTACAACAGCCGATATGTTGTAATAAATATGGCGAGAAAGATGAGGACAATAGTCCGAATAATTTAAATAGTGTACATAATACCTTATCTCAGAAATATAGACAGATATTTAATCTTTAAACTGAACGTATATAGAATTTACTTTTAATTACACTGATCATTTTTTTTCTTAACCTAAACAACTCGATTCATGTTTTAAATTTTTAAAAGTCTTTTAGATGGACGCCATACCTGCCTCCAAATCTGTTCATAAATATCTAAACTGGCATCTGTCCCATTCTTGGATCAATGGTTAACATTGTTTTGCATGTAGGTCTATGCTAGAACCAACTTTCTTCGAATTTCATGAACTGGCGCTACATAATCCCTTACAATGTACTTTACTAAATAACAGAAATCACATCATTTAAAGATGTTCAAACACAGCTACAAATAAAGTGGATAACACGTATAAACCGAAGAAAAATAATGACATAATAAAGATGTTGAAGTTCCACAATACTTCAAGCAAACGGCTAGGAAGGAAACCCCATCAATACGGGAAAGTCAATAGATTTGAGAAAGCTATTTTCCTTAAAATTTTTTCAGAGAGAAAAATTATTAATTTTAACCGTGAGTAGCAGTGGTTGCTCAGTGAATGAATGTAGAATATTTCCTTTTAAGGAAACAATTAATATTACCATTGCTATTTGCTTATAATTATTATTTGTTCTCATTTACCTGTTGCACATTGTGATGATAATAGACCGAAATTAACAGGAGCTAAGATAAGGCAACAAATGAAAATAATCTCTACAGGAATAACATGGACAGTTAGAATGTTACAAGAATTGCATTTCTCAAAGGAAGTAATCCAATTTCATTGATATCCCAATTGATTTGATATTCTATTACAAGAATCTGTTAAAAAGTAACATATAATAATTCTACATTTTCCTTATTCCTTTAATTTGTTTATCTATTATGGAAAAGATAATTAGAATTTCTATAATCTATGCGATTTTTCTTTTTTAAAATTAAAATTATTTGGAATAGTTGCTGGTCTGGGTGATATTGTTTATCGGTATATCAACATATCTATGGGTTATTTAATGCCAAAATCTAAAGATTTTCAACACAAATTTAAGGCTTCAATTAAAAATATATTTCCACCCCAATTGCATGCCTTCAACTACAGATAAAATATATTGATTGTCATTTTACTTTAAAAATGTATTGACGGACATTTCACTATCAATATGTATTGTTGGTTGTTTTTATATAAAAATGTATTGCTGGTATTTTTACTATGAAAATGTAGTTTTATACTTTCATAGGGTATTGGTGAGGGGTGGGGGTCACTATTTTCCCATATGTAAGACCATAACAGGTGTTATTACCTGGGATCACAATGTACCTGGAAACAACAGTAATTAAAAGATGGTTCCACGTTCCCCAAAGGTATTGCTGCCGGATGTAGTTTATCGTCATACCCAGGATTATTATTGTGAATAAACTATTTACGCTAATATATATGCCTACAGTTTATGGCAATGGCAATTTCGGATATAGTTGTTTCCATGGAAGAGACATTCTGAATGCACAGAGAGCGTTAATATCAAAGGGAATTTATAAAAACAGCCATATTCTTTATAAACGTGATTCCCAAGGTCACTGTTAATTCGATTCCTGATATTAATGTGGGTTTCATTCTAAACCTTTTTTTTAATGTTGTGGGAAAAAAATTATTATACGATTATTTTCAATTCTAGTTACATGTGTTACGCATTTTCTTTCTTGCTGTTGAAAGTTTTAATATGATGTGTTTTTTTTTTATTAATTTGGTAAATCTCGTCGTGACTTTGTAGCGGTAATCTATAGGCTCGGATGAGGGATTTTTCTTTAATACATAAAGGATCCATTCACTTGAACTCGTTTGTAATAATTGCTATACATGTATCGTTTAAACAATAGAAAATAAGACTAACTAATTTTACTTTTCAAATCCAGATATAAAAGAATTGTATTACGGGAATATTAAATCAAACTAGTATACAATAATTAAAGAAAAACAAATATTTTCCTGAAAAGAAAGAATGAAACCGCGAATATTGTAGAAACCAGAAGAGCGTCAATTAATTAGAATTGTTTAAGGATTAATATTTTTTACAGTTTGTCAACACTTTATGGTTCATTTAAAGCCGATTTATAAATTGGATGGTAAGAATAATTCTATTTTAAAAGAAAATATTTTATTAAGATTTTCGAGATTAGCAATGTTACAAATTTTACAAAGGCTTACGACCATATCATGTTGAAACTCCGGTTTCTGTACGATCACCAAAGTTAAGCAACGTAGAGCCTGTTCATTACCTAAATGGGTGACGTCTTGGGAATACTAGGTACTGGGATGTGAGGGTGGTGTAATGGATAATAGCTCGGAATTTTTAATCAGAGAGACCTGATCTAATCCCGTTGGGTTCGTTGTATTTACTTACGCCGAAATACCTTTAGGAAAGGTATGAATAGACATCTTCTTCCTAAGCTGTAGTTTAATTAGTAATAATTGTATCACTAGAAACCATTATTATTCCTCCAAATTAATACAAACTAAAACATATTTTCTGGATTTGAATAACCTGCAAAGAATTGATAAGCCGTAGAAAATGAATGTATCAATCAATACAAGTGTTAATATTTTACCCACAGATTAGATGTAGATGGATTCATGCCTTATACTGCCCGTAATGGAATCGCAAACTCGACAAGAATTTGGACTCAGCTCTTTAACTTATTACTGTGGGCTATTTTCCTTCATACCACCAGTACATCTACCCGTATATCTACCAATAAATTAGGAAGAAAAAATGATGAATTTCAAAAAAATATTGAAGAAAATAATAGAAAGTAAAAATAGAACCATCGAATATTTTAAGGAATATATAGAAGAACGTTACTAAAATAAATCAGTCAAGGTTTTTTTAAGAAATGAGTACTAAGCTATTTATGGCAGCGAATGTTGAACGGTCTCTTTAAAAATGAAGAAGAGACTCGAGGCGACGGAGATGTGGTTCTACAGGAGGATATCATGGACCGAGCGTGTGAGCAACGATGAGGTTTATGAGAGGACGCACACAAGGAAGAGACTGAAGTTTGTGGGACATGTAATGAGAAAGGAGGTTCTGCAGAATCTGATACTCACAGGTCGAATAAAGGAAAAGAGAGACAAGGGAAAACAATGCAGGACATACCTAGCGGGCTTGAGCAAGTGAATTACAGAACGCGGTCTGGGGGAGGTGGCAGTGGGACGAAACTAATTGAGAGCTACAAGGGGTATGGGCAAGTGGAGAACTATGATCGCCTACGTCCTGAATGAACAGGGCACATAAAAAAGAAAAGAACCAGACATCATAAATTAATAGAAAATAGATAAAGTATCAGCAAAAAAGACCAAAATAAACGAAAGACAATAAAATAAATGATGGAAATATTCAGAACCTTAGGCCGAAAAGAAAAAAAATGGATAAAAAAAATAATGGTCAAATGGTAATGAGAGAAATCAGAGATAAAAGTGATTAACATATCAAGAATTGAAGAAGAAGGTAATGTTAAAATAAGAAAAAAAGATAACAGCTGTTTTATGAGGAAAAATGGCAGTGGTCTGAAAAAAATACAAAAGAGAAAATCTAAGATCGGTGACATGAGAAAACGGAAAAATTCCAAGAAATAACTTCAGCAAACGAAAATAAGAAAAAAAATGAGAGGAACCATAAATTGTTTCATTTTTTTTATTACTTTTGTTATCCTTTTCTTTTTGGCTTTGCAGAAACAGCTAAACTGATGATGCGTCTCACAATGGGGAATTATAAAACATCCGGTAAAACATCACGCACCATCTCGCGTGTTCTCGCGCGATCTGTCTTGACAGCAGCATTGAAATGCACTGTTGCCCATATAAGGCCAAAGGGACATGCAAACAGCTAATGCGCATGGCAGCTGCACACTTTCCAGCCGGACATAAATGGGAGAAATAATGGAGTAACAAATAAAAAATGTTTAAAGAAAAAACGGAAAAGAAATGTTTAACAGGATGAAAAATGAACAGGAAGTGATTTTTTTTGTTTTTTTCGTTCTTTTGTGTCGGCATATGTGTCGCTGGTGTTACTTCCTAAGTGTTTTTATTCCCTCACATCACAGTACTTAATCGTGCGCAGTAACGTGTAAAAGTTTTGACGTAGAGAAATTATCATAAAAATGGATATATTTTTCCTTCTACCGAAACTCTTCGATTTCTTGATAGATATAAATCATTTCTCATTTTTAATCTCCTCCAGTTTTTGCTAAGAAATTTTCTCCATTCTTTTTTCACGATGTTAATCACGAATTCTTTCAAATATTCTTCTCTGTCATCTTCTTTTCGATATCAGCCACTAATTTTAATATTAGTTTCAGATAGACTTTTATTTTCATTTCCATTTTTCTCTTCTTTCTTTCACTTCTACTTCTGATATATTTTTAATCTTTGTCATTTTGCTCCCCTTTTCATCGTCTACTTGTATGATATGAAATACGTGCAAAAGTCGCCAGCATTTTTCCAGCATAGATTAATTCCATTTTCTATTGTGTATTTATTTTCATTTGTCTAATAGAATGGCGCTGCGTTCCTATGTACACATCTGATCATGACTCTTTTTTAGGTTTATGAATATTTATAAAGCTCAGCTTAGTTTGTTACAAGTTATAAATGAAGTTTGACCAGTAAGAATCGGCTTTACAATAGTATTAAAGCGAAACTGAAAATATGCAAAGTCTGTCTATCTTTCTCAGATATTTTAGCTATTTACACTATTTACATTGTTCGGGTTTTGCCCACATCTGCATTGTCATATTCACGATGTTTCGACCGTTGCACGCTCCGGCCTTCTTCAGGATCTCCCTATATTTCTGAGGTGTGTTATTGTAACTATGTACACTATTTACATTGTTCGGACTGTTGTCCTTATCTCCATTGTCATATTCACACTGTTACGATAGTTGTACGTACTGGTCTTCTTCACAATCTGTCTTTATTTCTCAGATGAGGCATTTTAGATATTTACAATTTTTACAATGTTCGGACTGTTGTCCTCAACTTTATTGTCATATTCACGATGTTTCGGCTGTTGTACGCTCCGGCCTTCTTCAGGATCTGTCTATATTTCTGAGTTGATGTATTTTAAGTATTCCAACTACTTACATTTTTCGGACTGATATCCTCATTTTTATTGTCATATTCACGTTTTGGACCTTAAGGGCACATAAGCCAGTGGATAAAAGCGTTGGTTAAAGTAATCAAGTGACTTGAGCCATCGAGCTGTGAGTTAAATAGCCATAGCAGAGGTGAACAAAAACTTGGAGAGTCGAGTTACTAAAGGAAAATAACTGAAATTAGATATACAGAAAAGGTATGGCACGTGGAACTAGAAGAATATACCCCAGTGGAAAAAAATCCCAGCGTATATTACTTGAAAAGAGCATTCAATGACAGAAACGTTGTAACTATGAGAATAAAGGTTAGAACAATAGTCCAATCAATGCTATTAGTGTAAATAGCGTGCTATATGATTTAATATTATTTGCTAAGTATGGCATAAGAAGCATTAGCAATGTTTTTTCAAACATGCTTCAAAATGATTGTTTCATGAAGAAGCGTCTTAATATGAGCATTTATTGAATTTAAAGTTTTGTCTGTAGTACCGAGTGACTATCGAATGTTTTTCACTAGTAATAGTCAACTAATCTACTATGCTAAATACAACATTCATTAAATGTTTAATTGGTGTTTACTGATATTTGGTAATCTTAGTTTAGTCAAACATAGTAATATTTGTATGGATAATCTAGTGTAGATCACATTGCTGTGTATTTTCTCTAATTTTACTGAATTCACATTCTAAACAATTATATTTGTAAATTTAATAATTAATAAATTATAATAGAATTTTAAAATTATAATATTAATTATATATACATAATGTACGTTAATTTCCTAACTTAATATATTTCATTAAAACGTTCATGCCTATCTTTTTTCTTCGTTTTCTCAATTTTACTCTCATTTTCCTTGCACCCTTCATTCATTTCTTCTTCCCGCCTAAACTTTTGCCTGCCTTTTGCGTTTTATTCGTTTTCTCTTTTCTTCCAAATCTCTTTCCATTCGCGCTACTTTTTCCCCGACATAAATTAAATCATTTCTGCACTTTCCATGATAGGCCGTACGCAATATTTCATTTTCACCCGGCTTTTATCGCTTATTTTTCTCTTCTTTCTTGCTTTTTCCCTTTAACTTCATACACAACCTGCTTAATCATTCACCCTGATCCTTCATGACCAACGTTTTCTTTTAGTTTATCCCTCTTCATCAATATATCCTAACCCACTCCCTGTATATGACAAGACGTCGTCAAGAAACAGCCGATTAGTAAGTCTCCCGCGTTTTTCAAAGCGGCCATTTTTCTTTTCCTACTCCTGCTTTTATGTGAGCAAACGATACCGTATGTTAGCATTTGTGCGCGCAACGATCACACAAAAGATGCTCGTTGATTGAAATGGAAGCTGTGGTTTTCTGCTGAGTGCAACAAACGCCTATAAATATTGGGCTGGGCTAAATGAATGAGAACCTTTCTTCATGTAAGTTTTGTTGTCTGTGTGGTTTGTCTTCTATGAATATAACCAAAATTTCTTCCTTCTCTGTGCGCGCCATCTTATTGTCAAGAAACACAGACTCTGATTCATGGATGGTAAATTGCGGGAAGTATACCTTGTGATGTTTATATTTATAGTGATAATAAAAGCTTGAAAAGAATGTGGATGTGATTTGCTTTTAGAGAATTTTGTTATTTTCCATATTTACTGCTTCCAATTTTATTTTATCTTGTATATATATAGTATTCTTTATTTAATACAATGTCCTCTTTTTCTCACATCTGTCTCATACTTACATGATTATTTTTTCATTCTAACGATCGTTTCTTATTTATTCTTCTTCAATGATATTATTATTTTTCTTATATTTTTTTTCTATATGATCTTTCTACTTATTTCAAGATTTTATTATTTGTCGACTTTTCCTTTATTTCCCTTTTATATTTTCTTTGTTTTTCTTGCTTTTATTTTGTTTTCGTCTATTTTTCTTTTCTTTTTATGTTTTTTTTTTTTTAAGCAGTACGCCCCGAGCAAGGCGTGAAGCCACTAGGGTGCAGGGGGTTGCAGTAGATTTGGAGCGAGAGCAGATAGGAGTGATAGAAGAAAGGATGAGGAGATGGATAGTGGATAGATCAAGGTAACTGGAGGTGTCGATTGACATTACATTTGAATAGTTGGAGATTATAGCTTTGAGGGAAACAGTAATTGGGAAGGGTGTTCCACA